GCATTTCAGTAGCTAAGGATGTCACTATCATGTGGAGCTCTCAGCATAGTGCAGAAATTCAACCACATGAATGGTCTTCTGCCTCTGTCCTATATGAACCCAACTGAGATCATGGGGATCAGTATCAAAGTTATAAAGGCATTATACTTAGGTACCTGAAGTGGCAGACATACTTTTTTTTTCTGTTTTTTTTTTTTTTTTTTCTTTAAAGCTCTGTGATGCCTAATTCCTATTGATTTTATTTTGGCTTTAAGGATCTGTATCTTACTATCTTGCCTGAGGTCATTAAAGAACCCCGTGGAAGAGCTGGGAAATGAAATAAGATTTCCCATCTCAGACCAATCCCTTAATCAAAAAGCTGTTTTATATCACAGTTTACGACAAGAAAGCTAAGAAACCTTATTAACTAATCAAGATCTTATCTGGACTGTATGAAGAAATCAAGTACAGCTTTTTATCATCTGTTTAAATATTTGCATGCATATTTTGTTACGTTGTCCTAGAGTTTGTTAAGTTATACCTCAGATATTTTCCTTCAGAGAGCTTCACGATACTTTTAATGTGGCAGTTTTCCATGAAATACTGTCGTCCCTGTCTGTAAATTCCCAACATAGATCATCCTTTTTTTTCTCCTCTGCTAGTTTTTATGGTTTACGGAAGAAAGCTAGGGTAATATTGCAAATAAGAAATTTACACTGTTTTGCCTACAATAGTTGACATTCTTCTCTAATTACTACATGCTTTATATGGTTTTGCAAAGGGGATTACCTTTGTAACAGCTCTGCTGAAAGAAGCTGATACTAAGCATTTTGTCCTCCATTTGCTGATCAGACCTTTCAGAATAGGAATGGATGGCTCAAGGTCATAGTGGTAGATATTACAGCACTTCGCTCATAGGTGACTAATTCAATGGGACCTGGGTTGCTAATGACCCAGCCTTCGTTAGAGCTGAGCACTGACTGTGAAGGTGAATTGATGTGTACAGAGCTGTGTGCATAATTTCATCATCTTTAAAATCATCCTAAGTCACGTTCCAGATCAGGTTCTAACCTCTGTGTTCCGTTATAATTTTAGTTAAACTGCTGTAATTCATTACCAAATATGTTTAGGAGGAGTGCAGGAGGAGCAAGAAGTTGAAGTTGAAGAAAGCAGGAATGCATGTCTTACTCCATTCCAGACTTTTCCAAGATGGGAAGAAGCATTCGCAGGCTGAAGTACAGATCATTCTTGGTCCAGTCTGGCCATTGGCTTCTGATGAGAGCTTGACTCTGCTCATGGTAGTAACATGCACTAATTTTAGTGAAGACTAGGATGTGCAGTATAACTATGGGGAAATGGGGTTTATAATCTTTTCAATTTTTTATGTCATTTACTAAGTGCTCATCTTGCATTAAGATGTCACTGTCAAACTGGGCAGCATTAAAAAGGAAAAGGGTTGCTAAATTTTCAGGAGGTCAAAATAGTCTTGGTCCTCTAAGGACTGTCAGTGAAAATCTGTTGGAATAAAGGATGTCTAAAAAATGTTTTTAATCTAGGCTTTTAAAAATTTCTCTTTTGAGAGCCCCCATAATAAATCAAGAATATTGATTTAGCCTACAGCAGTCTTAAGATTCACTTATTTAAGAGCTGAAACTGCTCTATTACTCAGAGCAATAACCCAACTCTGAAATCTCTCATCAGAGACTGCTGGTCCACGCATGTCGACAGGCATTCAACAAAGATTTCCATTCGTGTGTGGATCTTACATCAGATGAGGACTCTACACTGCTTTTTGAAGCAGTTATCTTCTTTCCTGCTCCCACTGCACCCTGAAAGCCTTGGTAGCACTGGGCCTTCTGGGCTGAGCACTGCCATATGAGCCCAGCACAAGCCATTTCAGCACCCACGTATTGAACACCATTCCACTTCACACTAGAACTCTGCAAGGAAACAAAACCTGTGTTTCATTCTAGCACTGCCTATGTTCCACCTTATGTGTGGCTCGTGTATCCCATGTTGAAGAGACTTAAATGTAGCTTTGGATACGGCCAGACTTGAGTTCATGTGGAAGGAAAATGTCCTTCCAAAAGAAAATATATCTCAGGGTGTTGAAGGTTTGGATGACTCATAGTTTTAAAGAAATGGGTATCGTCATGCTCAAAAATATTTTTAAATCAAGATTATGGTTACATTTACTCTAGCTGATAGCAAAAGGGTGTGTTCTGTCAATACAGCTAGCAAGAGCTGGTGAGTTCCATGAGTTTCTCCCAGTGTTTAATGCATTTTTTATTAACTTTCCATTAACAGAATGTTTCCGATGTTTCTTTTTCTAAAACTGATCTCCTTGTAAGTGTTCATACAGCTCTGCAAAGTTCCCCCTCATCCTCCTGGGCTAACAACGTTAATGGGTTAACTGCTAGCCCATGCCAGTAGTAAATTACTAACCCCATCACTGGCTTGCTGGCTCAGCTGCTGTAACCTGTAAGTAGCACATAATCATTGCCCATCTGCTCCTGCAAGGGAGTGGCCATGGGGTCAGCGCTCTGCTCTGATGCCCGTGTGCTGGAGTGGCTGCTTAGCAGATCAAAGGGAGTCCTTCCTCCCTTCTGCAATTGCTCAGTCCAATCTAGCCGTGAATTATTAGCATATTTATAAATCAGAATAAATCCAAGGATTGAACCGGCCCAGGGGAACTCTCAGTCCACTCGAATTAGTCTCATATATCCACCTCAGAGCAATTTCGTAGAAGCTTTGCCCTCACAAAGCTTCATTTGTAATCACTACGTGTTGTGTACTTCAGAAAAGTTTTATAATTGCTTGCTGTTTCGGCTGCTGAACAGTTCTAAATGTTAGATATTAAGGAACTGCTGTTTCAGTCAGTGAGCAAGCTCTAAACACTAAATGTGCTTCATGAGAAGTTTTTTCTCAGCCATTACACATCTCTCAAGGCATATTTTTTTCAAGTGGATGCTTTCCCAGCTGTTGATATCTCTCCATTTCTTCCATATGAAGAGGGAAGGAGGAAACTGGTGGCAGAGTGGCACTGTATAGAGTTTTTATTGCTATGAGAGTGAGATGAGTACGTTCCATACAAATGCCTGCATTGAAATACATAATTGCTGGTCATTCTGAGAAAGTACCAATAAAACCTTTCTCTCATACTGTGTGTATTCTTGGCTTCTGGCATGTATCTTAGAGAATAAATATTTTAGCAACGTTTTAAAGACATTCCGACTGGGGAAACTTTCCTGACATTTTCTCTCTTATGACAGCTCTGATGTGTGCACAAATTTATTCCCTATTTAACATAAGTGAAAGCACTGAGATAGTCAATCACATGTAAAAACTTTTTCTCTGTCAGTTACTAAGCACGAGATCTAGAAATGGAGGACATAATGGCCTTTCAGGTGTCATTAATCTCAGGCATAATGATTTCTTTTAGAGCTAAATGAATGCTGTAGCTCAGGTGATTCAGGTATTTTGCATATTATCATGCTTTCAAATAAATTACAAAGTTCAATCCAGTACGTGTTCATTCTGGGATGCCCCAGAACTGTGCAAACTGCAGTTATCACAGCTGCCATGTATTTACAAACTATACGATTTATTTAGTAGGGACTCTTCAAATGGGAATAGGCTGGTCTTGACTTATGAATTGCTAAACCCATCCATCTAATCCATTGCTACACAAAATCACTCTTTAAATGCATGAAAGAACCTGGCCACTATTGGAGAAGTGTTACAATGCAAGAAAACAGCAAAAGGAAATAAATTACAAGCATTAGGCAGCATTAGGACTTTTCAGAGGAAGCCACCGAAATGAAAACCCGTGATCAAAATAATAATTATCAGGGGAACACGTTTACTTCCAAAATAATCATGCAAATTATAACACAAAATATGTCTTAAGTATTTAAAATGGTGATTTCTGCTGGTAGAAAGAAAACTTGATAATGTGAATGCTTTGTACGTGATCCCTTCATGATGGGTTTTCTCAGAAACAGACCTTTGTGTATTTTGATGGTATATTAGAAAAAAATAAAATCAGACGAAAAGATGTCATTTGGTGACTGCCTCCAAAGGTGTGATGAAGCTGTGAGCTGCTGAAGTTAGAGTGATGCCCATCCTTCTCTTCATTTTATAATTATTACAGCATAGGACTTGGTAGAAGTAACACTATGAAATATCAGAACTTCCTGTGATGTGGAAAGATGCCTGGAAAGTACCAGAAAAGTGCATTTTTCTTTTCTGATACGTCTAATTATTTTTTTAAATTACTTTTTAAAAATTAAACTAGCAGATAATCCAGTAAATTCCTTTCATGTATTCTTTTTAATTCTAATGTAGTTAAAGAAATTTGAGGGAAAGAATTTCAGCCTGTTTCCTATTTGTTATTCAAATGATCTTATGCCTCCTGATTTAAGGTGTTCTTTAGCACTCGTAGTTTTGCTCTTTCTATTTGCTTTCAGTTGTATGGGTTTTAAATTTCCAGAACTTACCTCTAAGCTTACAATAATTTCCTCATTTTGCCATTTAACCATGTTATTTTTTTAATGGCTTCTATGCTGTGTATATCAGCTTCAATTACGCTGAGGATTTATACAGTTTTGATGTTAGACATATACAAGTAACCTTGTTTCTTCTTGCCTAGGCTAACTCTGGTCTCTCTTGTCATAAATTATACTGGGCTTAAATTTGTCTGATCAGGGTCAAATCTGTCTTGTGGTAGGGTTGAATTATTCCTGCAAAAATCATAAGTGTATAATGGACTAAGTATATTTTGCTTTCTTTAGACACAAAGTCAGGGGTTTTATCCCTCTACAAGGTATTCACACTAAGAGCACCTGAACCATTTTGAACAATTCCAGTTTGCATGCTCTGAAGAAGTTGTAGGTTGGAAAAGGCCCTGTGTTATATCTGCATTGAAATAGCTGCGTTCTCCAGTAGCTGATATGATTCACTTCATTTGCCTTCTTCAGCAAATGTAATAGCTCTTTCCTTTCCCTGTTTTCCTCTTTCAGAAGTAACAGTCTATTCAATGAGGTTGTGCAGATGGACTTTGAAATAGCCAGTTTTAGCAGCCTGTCTGGAACGCAGCCCATCACCTGGCAGGTGGAATACCCTCGGAAGGGGACAACAGACATAACCTTGTCTGAAATCTTCATCTGCCAAAAGGATCTTGTTGGAATTGTTCCACTGGCGATGGTAAGAAACTGTTTCAGCATGTTGCTCCATCTGATCTCTCTGTAGTCTGAGAAAACACATACCAGGCCTCAGATAGATTTGCAAAGGAATGCTTTCTGCCTCCCTCCTGTTGCAGAACTTTATAGGAATGCTTGCTAAAATCATACTCACGTTTAATTGCCAGTATGTCACACAATTTAAAAGCACAAAGAAAGGAGTGCTGCCATTTCAGAAATCCCTCAGCCTTTAAATCTTGAATTTCTGTAATGATCAGTTCTCTCCATGCTACCAGCTGGCAACACAGAGCCAGGTAGATTTACCCTCCCATTTCTTATTTTGCTGTTACAAGGTTTGAACTTGCAAGGTGCCTTGAACACCTTTTGCTGAAGAATGAGTTGCTCGGTGCTTAGTAGGCTGCAGCTGATAATAATTTTGCTAGCTGTTTCCCTGGTGGTTTCAGAGCCTGCTATTTCAGAGAGGAAACAGAAAATAATGAAGTCTCAATAATGTATTTAAGGAAAATTCTATGCTAGCATAGTATAGAATTACATGTGAACAATTGCCTTGGGTTAAAATCTACTTGCCCTGCCTGTACAGCATGAGTTTGTGGGCTATTTACCTGCCAGTGACATCATAACTTTTGCCAGTCTTTACGAGGCTTACAAATGTGATTTGTGAAAGCAGGTGTTTCCTTCCCTTCCTCTGGCTCAGTGAAGATGCAATTACTTCTGCAAAGCAATGCTGGAACCGTGGAAGCACTGAGATCTAGCAGCTAGGAACCACTCCTTCATACAAACAACCTGGGATTACACTTCTGCTCCAAATCAAGAACCTATGTCTCTAGTGCACTATCTGTGAGCAAACACTTTATCTTCAGTGGGATTTAGGTGCATGCAGAGGTAGCTCTGAGCACCTTTTTTAGAAGTCTCAGACCTCAGGAAGCACAAAGCTGACAGATATCTAGAGCAGGATAGAGTGTCAGTTAAACAGAGGAAAAATCAATGTCAGAGATCAGGCTTTAGAAGACATATCCATCCCATTTGTGAGTTTTGCCTCTCACGCACATAACCTTCGAGCTGAAATTCTGGCAGTCTTTGAGTAATATTCTATGGTTTGCAGGAGATAATAAGATGAGTACTATTTCCTGGAAGTCCTAATCTCCAATATATGCCTCCCCTTTGAAGTGAAACTGCTGCTCATAACAAATGAGGTCATGCCCAGCAATTTCCTGATCCAAAGTATGTTAAGTCAGCAGAAAGCCTGTGCAGCATTCGGGATCTGGAAGGGAAATAATTGTCCTCATTATCTGTGGAGCTAAGTGTATTTGAGTGTCTGTCTTCAAAGACTTAAGAATATATGTAAGGATGTCTATTCTGGTCAGGTTTTATTTTGCAGTAGATGCCTTCTGTATCTTTCAGTACCAAATGATAGGCATCTGTCTGCCAGCAGACTTAACATCTCCTTCTTTTTTTTTTTTTTTTCTTTTTTTCTTTTTTTTTGGAAAGAATTTACCAGCTTCTTCTTTTCCCTATCTCACACCTGAGGGAAGCAAGATTTTTTTCATATCACATGGCAGGATCTAATGCCTTCGCACCTGCATAGAAGGTTCAAGCTTTATGCCCAGACTTGTGGCTATTCTAGATTAAAATTTCTGCATTTACAAAGGTTCTTCAAAGGACTAAAGGTCTGAACTAATGAATTTAGTGGTGTATAAATCATATAAAGTGAGATCCTTTATTCCCAGCAGATGTAGGGCTTTCCAAAGGGTTCAAGCAATGAAATCATTAAACCGTTCTCTTTGCAAAGCTTTCTTGTGTTTATTTATCTCATTTCTGTACCTTGTGATAACACTTGGCAGGAGCCAAAATATACTGTGTTAATAGAATCCAGTTGGATGGGATAGCAATGCAAAATTGGCTTTGCTAGCAGGATATTAGTAGATAAAGGGAATTTTCACAGTTTTCTGTTAGCTAAGACTGCAGATCCAGCCAGAGTGCTTTCTTCATTTAGGCATTAATCGCTGGCTGAGCTGATTACCTGGCAATGCTCCTGTTCAGAAACAAGAGCCACACTGAAAAGGGAGAGGGGGATACTGTATCTACTGAGAAGTCAGACCTTGCTCTTTATCTCCAGCGCACACTGCAAAGCCACAGCATGTTATTGTGTACAGAAATTAGATCACAGTGTTTATCAGCAAGTGTGTTTCATAAATCCTCTGGAGAGTAAAGAAGATTATATTGATTTAAGCATGGAGTGTTCTTACAGCAAAACTGCTGACATCAAAAATAAAATCTGTTGTTCAGAGTTTTTAAAGTTGGCCAAAAATAAATAAATAAAAAAAAGAGACAGAGAGAAGGAGCAGGTCGAAAAGGAAGGGAAGGAGCTGCCTAATGCTATTGTATTGGATTAGGATGTGGGATTCCCAAGATCTGACTGAGTCCACGCCACTGGTCTGATGGGTGTCCTTGTCAGTGCTCCAGAGATGAAAGCAGCAAACCTTTGAGTGGTTTGTGAGTGACCTAACAGCTGTCTTTGACTCATGGAGAAAAGCATCTCGCATGTGAGCCATTCTGAATGCAAAATTTTATGAAGCATGAGAGGCCTTGTATCCTTAACTGGCCAGTGCTTGATTATGGTACAAAAAGCAGTAAGATGAAGAAAAAGTGTGCCTCCTAAAGATTAGCGTATTGCTGCTGCGGTATTTTGGATTGAAAGAGATTAATGAAAAGGCATCATCAGTAAGAACTGAATCTGAAATTTTAAAAGAGCTTGGATCAGTAGAGCAAGTTGTGGGACACAGCTGCTGAAAAATCAGTGGAAATTCATCATACAGTCAAAAGAGGGTTTTAGTAGGATTCAGATTCTGTGTGCTTAAGTATGCTGCTAAATAGCGTATCTGTGTAAGAAGCAGCAGCACAGAGACGCTACTACAGTGAACCCAAAAGTGGAAAAAAAATGAGAAAGAGAAGTTGAGAATAAGTTAAATAATTTCTTTCCCAGAAAAAAAAAAAAAAATGAGATGCAAATTAGAAGTAAGGATATTTTTTCCTAAGCTCAGAAGTTGATCAATCTGAGTAATTTTGGAGGACATTTTACCCTTCAAGTTATTAGAGAGAAAAATGAGGCAGAGGAGTTAGGAAAATGTAATTCCAAAAGGTTCTGTTGCTTTCAAACTCTCACATACGATGATTTTCTAAGGTATGTACTGTGGGGAATTCCTCACTGTACATGTATACACATGTTGTTCTTTGACAAAATCTTAAGCATGGCACTTGGTGTAACCGTGCACTCCCTGCATCTTTCTTGCAGGCTGCTTGATGTGCTCATCAAAGGATGAGATTAAATGTATATGCTGTATTTCCATCATTGAGTAGCAATGATTAACAGAGGCAAGATTTATTAAGAGGTAATGTTATTTGTTAGACCAACTGATACAGATGGAGAAAGATAGTTGCTACTTCAGGCACACAATCTCTCCTTCTGATCTCTTGCCTCACTTACCTAAATCACAGCAGCTGCTAAATACTACAGCTACAGAAACCCAGGGATGTAAAATTCAACAATTAGAAGAATTAAATAAGAAAATAAAAAGATTTCTTAAAGTCAAACTGAGGATAGAGCCCACTGTTTCTGACAAGAAAAATCTACCCCAAAGGTTTAACCTTCCACGTCTTACTCAAGCATTTCTGATTCTGTGTTACTTGTAGCAAGATCAATTAGAAAAGTGCTTTCATAGGAGCTTAATTAATTATTTGCTAAGCTGATTTTGAAAACCTTTTTAATTAATCACAAGTAACCTCAGAGCTTACCATTAAAGTATACAAGGTTGCTTAATTTACTTCCCCTATTTTCCTCAGATTTCTATCCTCTCATGTGGAAATGCGGTGAACTACACTGATTTTGCCACTTGATTAGATTAAAAAACAAAACCAAAATTGTTCACATTTGTAGCATGCACACACACATGAATCTCAGCTAAGTCTGTATATTTGTGTTCAACACAAATTGTGTTAGGAATTCTAGCAAGAGATTTCATGCTTTAACTGAGTAATACATATTTCAATACCACTAAATTGTGCTTTGGGATAGAACAGGTAGGAGGAGATGGTTGTTTGAGTCTCCACTGCTTATCATTAGGCAGCACAGCTTCACTTTTTGCTCTATAGTCAGCTATTTCATTAGGAAGTGTTTGGATTTCAGGTGTCTTTCTTTACATTTAGAAGTCAATGTAATGCTGATTCTGCTGCAGAAGTGATTGGACATTTAAGATGAAGAGCTGTGTCTCAGTTGAAAATGCCATTTTACATTTTTATGCATGCCTCTTAGTTTGCCTTCCATTACAACACGATTGAAAATTTAGCTCCCAAAACTTGGGTTGCTTTAGGTATGCCATTCTTTATGACAAAGACTTTTTGAGGTATTTCATTGCAACAAGGGATACCCTTTTAAAATATAGCCCTAAATAAAGTTCTCATCCCTGCACGGTCTGTGATTTCACACCGTAAAGCTGCATTGTTTCAAGGTCACAGAAGTGCAGAATTCTCGCTCCCATTAGTCTTTGAGACTTGAACAAAGCAGGAGGCAGCAGGCACTGAGAGGGCTCACTGTGAGGAGGCTGTCCAAACACATCCATTTTCCACTTTGCTTATCACAAACAAACTAACAGATAACCTGCATGCTGAACTTCCCAGCTGACAGGCATTGTATCAGATAATGAAATCATGAATCGCATCAAATAAATAATGTAAGTTGAAACAAACTTATTTGATTTTAAAAAACCCATCCCGTTACTATGAGTAATACTAACAACTTAAATGAACTGTAGAGCCCTAATTATTACCATGAATAAAAGGTTTTATGGTTTAGTTACAGGAGTCTGCTCTGTGTGGACTTAAAATCTTCTGATGCCAGAAGCCCAGGTCATTTACTTGCCTTCAGTTTCTATCATGGTGGGTTAGTTGTTTCTTTTAGATTTACAGTGGGTATGTAATTTAAACAAAGTTTGTCACTGCTCTACATTT